CTAAAAATTTATGTGAAACCCAGAAGAGTTAGGGGTGGAAAATAGTAACCCTATGTCCTAACGCTATCCTTACCCTTACAGAACTATGCAACAATCTATTTTTTTTTTTAACTTCCGTTACTGATCCAATACAGTGCTTAAAACTGGCACTTTTAATCGGTTGTTTTATCAGATTAACCACACTCTAAAATATGTAAGCTTGAAATTGTCCTAAATATATTGAAGAACATGTTTTATTGTCTCAAACCAAACATCCATTTTCCAAATTTCTATATTCAGGACGGTTTGAAAGTCATTTTGTTTCAAACGTAATTACAAATGTCAACTATAAACTGCTGTGCTTCAGTGGAATGATCATTCATTGTTGAAATAAGTTGCATACTACCTTGTTTTTTATAAATCAAAATTTGCCGCTGGGCAGTCTGACTCTTCTCGCTCATCTTTAGGACCGCGCTGCTGTGAAGCAGGTAACCCTCCATGGGAGAGAGGTGTTTGGGTCAAACTAGGTGATGCAATTAAACTGCACTGTGTAATTTTAAGGTGTTAAACCATTAGCTTAGCAATCTTGATCAAACATGTAAAAGCAACTCAACTTGAATTTGTTCAATCAGTTCAATTAGTAGTAGAAGAGCCAATGTAAAAATAAATAATAAAGAAACTGAAACTGACAAAAATAATAGGTAGACTACCTAAAACATATAAGAAATAAATTGCGACAAACCTTTCAAATGGTTCAGCAAGTGCAACTAGGGATTCTAAATATAATGTAAAATAAATAATAAAGCATTATGTGTTCTATGGATAGGGTACATTGTCATTGATATTTTGGATTTTTCTTCAATATCAGGATGTGATAATATCACAATTATCAGGACTAGTGATGCAGAACTACATCTTAGAAAGCCACACCCAGCAGGGGGTGAGAACCCAAAAGGGGTCTCTGCTCTACGCTGAACAACACAAATGCACTCAGGTCAGTCTTTTTTCATGAAAATTGGTTCTAAACTTAAAGTCGAAGCAGCCACAGACGTAGCTCCCACTGCCACTCAGCTTCAAAACCTCCACCGTCTTTCGACGGTGGAGGTTTTGATTTACTTCCCTGAAACCCGAAGCACAGACCAGCCCATCTCCTGAGCCAATGCCGAGCTAAAATCTAAACACCTCATCATCTGGATCAAACCAGGAGCAACAATTATTTGTTAACATCCAACACCTCCCACTGGAGCTCCCATTAGACTTTGACGGCATGCCAAAGTCGGAGCTTTTGCCCTCCTCGACGTGATCACACTGTGCATTTTTTGGCACCCAGAAGCACCATTATGTAATGGCTGTTCCGGAAGCTTCTGACGGTGCTCACTTTACGTTATTTAGCAGCTAATTGAATTAATACACAATCTAAAGCTAAAAATTACCCCAACAGATAAAAAGAACCCTGCTAATTTAGACTGTTTAGCAACTAAAATGCACATTTATTGGTAATTTTCCTGCAACTGTTGAAGACTGTTAATAGCTAATTAATGATTTCCCACATGGGCCGAGATGTACTTCTATTGTAGTTTAAATTGTTCTATGACCTACCGCAATTCTCAAGTATTACTATTTAAATCAATTGTTCTAAATAACTGAATGTGCTCTCTTTTTTTCCTTTTATATATGTTAATATGTCAGGCTATTAAATGGACCATAATTAAAAAAAAAAAAAAAAAAATAAATATATATATATATATATATATATATATATATATATATAAACAAAAAAAAAAAAAAAAAAAAAAAATT